TTCGTTCTCTTTCTCGCAAACGAAAGAGGAAATCTTTTGTTCCTTTGCAACGTCCCCTTGTCCAATACGTAGGGAAAGGATTAATTAATGCAACGAACGGATCTAGTTCGAACTCTAGCATCCCTCCAAGCCGTGTGTTCAACAGCTAAACATGCTACGAAGTATCTGTAAAAAGGTGAGTCTCATGGTCAGACTCGTGAATGTGTGCGCAGGCGTATACTTTGCGGACACTCGATCCAGTGGAAACTTTATGACGCAGTGTACGTTCTTGTAATATAGTTCAAAGAGAGATAAAGAACAAGAGAGAGAGAGAGAGAGAGAGAGAAATAGCCGATGACCAACGCAAAACTTTTAGTTACCGAGACGACTAGCGTAGTTGCTTGTATCGTGTCATGGATTACCGCGAGATTGCAATTTTGCGGGCAGAAAGTTCTTGTCGTTACTTGACAATGAGATTCTCGTTAGAGAGTTTGTTGAAAAATAATCCATCTTCTCGAAATAAACTTTCTTATTGCCGTAATCACGTCATCAAACTCAATAATGATTTCTATTACAGCATGTGCGTTTCGTGTGATAAAATAAATCTAAGGATAATATTAAGAACTATTTGTGTTATGTATCGTACATAAGCGTTGTACCTACAAGAGTTCGCAAACTTTTCGCGGAATCCAATTAAAACGCGGAACGCATCGCTCCAGGCTCCGTTCTACAACTTCCGACGGGTAAGTACTATTCTTCGTTGGGTATACAACGAAATATATATCGTTATTTCGAACTTTTTCAACAAACAACGAATTAATAATAGCGTTGGCTTTTCTTTACATCGGTAACCTCGGAAAACTAAATTTTCGGTTGGGCGTTATGCTCCACTTGTTTCCTCGAACCGTAAAACGTCCGAACCGTAAAAAAAAAAAACAGAGAGAGAGGGAGAAAAGAAAGCAAAAACAAGGAAAATCGCGTGTATACCATAAACTCTAGGCTCGGTATTTCGTTCGATAGATATTTATGATTTATTCTTGTTCGATAACTGCCAATCCAGCATCGAGTTTGGAAAGCTTCCGAGAGAACGAAATGGATGACAAGAATAGAGAAATATCTTTCACAAAGAGTGTTTTCTCGTATTCTCTAATTGAGAATGAAATATCGAGCTATAAGGTCTTATTAGAGAAACGGATAAACAAGCGATGGATTTTTCTAACGTCACGGTGACTCTTTCGAACAGCTCTTTCATCGAGGACCAGAAGTTTCGATTCCCTAGAGCCAGTGGCCGGTTCGTTCCAAGTAAGAAACTTTTCCAAAAGTTTCTTTCTCTTGTAGCTGGAACTTTCGTGTCAACGACGAAAGGATGATCCATGCTCGATCTCAAATGGATTTTTAAAGCGTCCCAAAGAAAAAATCCAAGATTTCAATGGTTCAACGTGAGAGAACGTTGAACTATCTTTGAATTCTATGTAGATAAACAGACAAGTATATATGTATCTCCCGTAACATCGTAAATAATATTTTTCGGATGTCCCATTTGTCGATCCGTTCATATTGTAAATTTTATCGGATGATCTATCGGGCAGCGGGCAATGATCGATGTTGCTCAAAATCCTATTATCGCGACGGTAGAAGCGTGTTAATTAAGTATACTTCGTGACGATGAATCAATTCGAACGTAGAACTTTAAATATCCACGTGCATAATATTCAAAGTGCAGGGCGAGTGTAAATTTACTACAATACGCGATATATATCGGTTGTTCCCATGTACGTCGTCCGATGTAATCTGGACTCGGTCATTAAACTGCAATATATGCGATGTGAACTCGCGCACGGAAAGTGACGTTATTAAATGTATCTACAGTGCATACATAGCAGTAACAATCGGGAAAATAGAAAGCAGGACACACATTCGAAAACTTTTTAATGCCGATTGTAAAAAAGAAAAAAGAACTTTAGAGATATATACGCACATATCTACATATGTACTTACACTTCATTAGCCGTTTCACGTGTATACAATCCTGTCTTACCAATTGAAACATTTTAAGCGCCTAATCAGCGGATTAACTCCGTCGGAGTCACACCGCAACTCGAAATTCGATTACTCTCGATACGAAGCAGTAACAAGGGTGTGCGGTGCCGAGCCGCAAGACTCCGTCTTCCCTCGTGAATCGAAGTTCATATTTCTCTAAAACGTACGCCACGCGTAGCGAGCGTTTCTAGTCTCGTGGTTTTACCCTGTGTAAATCTAACGTTAATGCAAGACGGTCGGTACGTCCGTACGGTTGAAATAAAGCAACACGACTGACTGGATATCACGGGCGAAGGACAAAGAGATATACAAAAGGAAAGGGAAGGAGAGTTTACGGATACATTAGCCAATAAACAAGCAATCGTGTCGAAGAAGAAGACTTTAAAGGTCACTCGAATAGACGCTTTATGTTTTGCTTTGAAGTGACTCACTTTACGACCGTAAAGTATCATAAACCAGTGTTTTCCTATACTACGTTTCTCGTTTATTTATCCTGTTATTCCGACCATTGAACCTGCCTGTACGTTAACTTTTCCAGCACTCGTATAAATTTAAGAGTCGTTCCTCTTGAAAATGCGCGTATATTTTTCTCCCTAGCGGTCCTCTTCTTTTACCCCCATCCCTATTCCAGTTCCTCACGCTTCTCGTTCGCCTTTTTGCAAGAAGAAAGAAAACCGTATTGTCATATGCTCCGGGATATCGCATCGTGAATACGTACGTATGCATGTAAGTACGTACAAACGTACATATGTACGATGTATAAACGTACGCACAAATGTAAGCACACGCGAATAACATAGGCAACGTTATTTACGAGCACGGTTTGCCCCGTGGTGCCAATCGTAATTGTTAATTTAATTAATTTACGAGCGATAACAATAAGAAATCGATAAAGTGTTGCCGCCAATAATTGGCGAACGCTAATTTCGGTGCCTCCTATAAACCGTATGTTTCTCTCTCTCGCATTTCTATGTTTCTATTTCTCTTTCATAGGATTCCTCGTTGTTCTTGTTCGATCGTTATGCGAACGAGAACAGCGTGCTATTGTAAACTACATAAATTGGAATCGGTCGATCGTTTGATCCAATTCCCAGAGTTCAGAGTAGTTTACTCGTTTGGCCTTGATGTGATCTATCGATCTTGAGATATAATTTTTCTCGAAGTTTATGCAAAACTTGAACGTTGAACGATTCGACGAGTTTTTAAAGTTCTTCCTTTCATTTTCCGTGTCTAGAGAGTAAAAGAGATAACCACATGATACGCGTGTGTGCATTCGATCGTCGAGAAAATATGTTTACGACGATACCGTTGATTTCTAGTTTATACGTAATATCGCTAATCGCAATATAATATTATTTGTTTAATACAAATTGGTCTATATAGAATGGAAAATGAAGATAAAACCGATCGTACTTCGAAGCAACGTTATATCGAGTACCACGTTATATCGGAGTATGTATTAACAGTTAAACACAGTTATTCGAGAAACTTTAACAATTTTTAATAATTGTTGTTTTTCTCGATTGACGATCGATTGCAATAAATAAGTCAATAAAATATAGACAATCTAGGATATAAACTTTGAGAGAATTCAAAGCTCAATGGTGTATCGATGAAATGTTTAAATCGATAATTCAACGGTAGCTCGTATATGACGTAATCGCCGTTAAACTTTATTGCATTGGACGAACGTAGAACTTCCGTGGGTGAATATTGTCCCGGTGCGATCTCGAACAGGTTAATTATCGACCATTGAAATGGTTTTGATCGCGAAAGTGTGGTTCCTCGTTAAATCCATTGAATTTATTTCGAACGGCGTCAAGCCATGATCATTGATATTTCGCATATTAGGACTTACAAGAGTTCGTTAAAAATTGAAGTTTATCAAATTCGAGGAAGCCAGAGTCGAGACGGCGATTTCTTTCTCCCACGAAATAATCTACCACTTGTCAGTTTTTGACCTTGAGAACAAAATAAAGAATATAAGGCACGTAAATTTATATCATTGTGTTTATTATTTTCACGTACGCAGAGGCACGCGCCAAAGTGCGTCAGCGAAGCGTTATAATTCGAAAATTGCGGCAAGAAGAATGGTCCCGACGAGAGGAACTAGAACGTGCGTGTGGACGCGCGCGCAAGCGTGCTACAGACCGGCGCATTAACTAGCAAACTTGCGACAGTATGACAAATGATCTTCGAGGTCATTCGCGTGCGGCCGTCCACCATCGAGGTATAGACGCCACTCTGTGTGTTATGCGAGAGCATCGTAATGATCGTACTTGGATTATCGAAAAAGCACTAATAGCTTCAGCGTCGCGCGTTTACTCGAAACAATTTATTAAAGGAACTCTTTGTACAGGAGAAAAAAAAGTGGCGCATAATTTCTCTTGGCTCGCATGAGAAAGAAAACACATAACTATTATATCATGATATATTTATAGCAAACTTATATAACGCTATCTCTTTTTCGAATCGATGCTTCACAAGTCAGAGTTGCATCAGATATCTCGGTCCGAATGAATCACAAAGATCTTCCTCGAGATGTCACGAGCTTTCGAAAGTAAGTCCATATAGATAAAAGACGAAGACGAGATAATCCTTGCTTTCTGTTAAGAGTGAATATAAGAGGAACGAAGGAAGGGATAAAATCGGGTTTGTAAATAGAAAAGTGTCGGTAGTCCGAGGTCTCGATAGAAAAATGCGAGGCGAGGAGAAAATCGCGCGCTAATCTCGATGAAATGATGCAAGGGATAGAAGAGAAAGAGCGAGTGAGCGAGCGAGCGAGAGAGAGAGAGAGAGAGAGAGAGATTACGAGGGAAAGAGAGGAAGAGGAGAAAAAGAGAGATATGAAAACTGGTGGCGCCCTCAGCGCCGGCGGGAGCGTTTGCCGTTGGCGTCGTCGTCGTCGCGGCGTCGACGGCGAACGCGCCTGGCGCGGACTGGCGCGGCATGGGGGTGGGGGTGTGTGGCGTGAAGAGCCGAGACCGATCTACCTTAGTCGACGTCAAGCCGTCGCGACGCGTGCGTCTTCTCTCATTGTCGTTTTCTCGTACCTCACGAGACTCGCGTGTTCTCCGCGGCGCGCAGCGTGTCGCGAGCGTGTGCCCACCTGTTCGCACCGGAAGAGAGACGCTTCTACCATCTCACCCCTCCCCCCTAACCCCCATCGTCATCCCCTCCAGTTACGATTTACTTAACCTTCGAGTACTCATCTTCTTCTTCATCTCCCTCTTATTATTTTTCTTCGGGAAAAGAGATCGTGGGCAATCTAAACTTTTCATTTTCTATTACGGACAGGAACTTTGAATTTTCTCGGAAAAGGATTTTACAACTGGAAAGGGAGTCCTCTTCGTTTCGATAGTTTTCGAAAGTGAGAGAACTCGAGAGGTGTCGTCGATGTTGTCGTTCACGTCGCCGTTCGTGAGCCTCGCCTTTTGACCCGAGGCTCGCGAGCAGCGATCAAAGACGCGGTGTTTTTATCGTGGAACGTGTTTTCAACTGGACGATAGTTGGCAAGAGTGAACGAAGAGAGAAGAGAGAAGATAAGAAGAGAAAGAAAAGCGTGGACGAGCGTGGAAAATTTGAGGATCGTTATTATGGTCATCGGGTATGTTGCGAATACGCATACATACATACATAACATACATACGTTTATACATACGACATTTCTTCGTTCTCTCTGTTTTTTCGAGTTGATTCCAGTCGCATTTGTAATTCTTCTTTTTTCCTTTTCTTTTTTTTTCTTTTTCGTATACATGCACGGATAATAAAATATGTGTAACGTATGCACGCTGACTTCGGTGAAAACGCACGCTCGCGCCTCTTTACTATTAATTGAATTCGTTGTCCACCATGTAGACTAACGACCACGTTCTCACGTTCTATATCATATCGCCACGAGTTGCTTTTATTCCTTTCTATGCGTTGAAACAAACTCGTATTTTTCTTTCTCGTACGTATGCTAAGTGAATCGTGACGATCCGATCGAGCAACAGCTCCAAGATCGAACGCATTTATACCGTATATTAACATAACGCGTCCTCGAACATCTGGTTCGTGCGAGATAACGCATACGTTTTTGTTCGTTTCTTTGGCTTTTTATTCTGTTTTTTTTTCCTTTTTTCTTTTTGGATATTCAAAGCTCCTTCCAATGAATTTCTTTGAGTAAATACGAGTCAGAAATAGTACGTATCGTTAACCTAAAATTAGAGATACCTCAATGACTTAAATAAAAAAAAAAGTTCTCTTTCGTGTGAACATCGTTCGTCGTTGTGAAGCACCGAACGTAAATCGAAGAGAATAACGTGTCTGTCTCTTATACGTTCTTTCGCGTAGTGATCATCATTGACATACCGCGTCCTCGAACACCTGCGTGTGACCACGTAAAAGAAAACGTTTCTACCTTTGTGCTCGCCTTTTCCGACATTTCTCACTTGGCGTGTCGACGATGTACCAATGCTCGATAACAGTTCTCTTTTGTTCCTTTGCATAATATCTATTAATGGCGACTTTGCTAATATATAGCGCACGTCGTCTCTCTTTCAATGACGGTCAACTGTTTATATTGACATCGCCGTTAGCCTTCTTAACGTATGATTACGTTCTCCTAGTCATCGTCGTCGTCATCTTTATCATCTTTTGCATTTCCGAACGTCGATTTTTAGATGCTTTTCTTTCCTTCATTCGTTTGCTTTATCATGAAAAATAACGATACATCGATCGTGTATTCGACAACCGTTGTCAATTTGGCATAAATCCATTTGTAACTATCAGTAGAAAATACGATATATCGTATAAACGCATGACGTATACGAAGGATTATCCGTAAAGGACGTAATTCGCTTCGTTGCATAAAAGTATTTTTTTTTCGATTCTCTCCCTTCGTCTCTCTCCCTTTTTCTCGCTTCGACAGATCGTTTATTGTTAGTTTCTTACAGCCAAATCCTTGACTCACATTTCTATTTTGTTCACGCGAAAAATTGTCTAAGGGTCGAGTCTCGATCCTTTGTTTCTACTGGCACGTAGCTTTATGGCGACACGTGACGCTTGTGCAAAAGTAAGAGAACGAGAACGAGAGCGAGAGTGAAATAGAAAGAGAAAAATAGAGATGAGAACAACGGGATGTGCAGAAAAGTAGAAACGAGACAACGATAGAAAACGTCGCACTATAATCGCTATATTTTCTTCTTATTTTTTCGATATGTCAAAACGAAACTAAAAGTGACACGACGATTAAAGGACAAGCATCGAATTGTCTTCTCAAAGTTATTTCTTTTCTTGTGCGAAATAAAAGAATTATGCAATTTACAAAATTTCATTTCTATTGTTTCTCGCATTTCGATTAATTAAACAAAAACAATTGTTGAAAAATTACCGAGACGATAAAAAAAAAAGCGCGTAGCCTAGAAAAAGCGTATATCTATGCGTTTGAATTTATTACGAATTAAGTCAAATGGAAGAGAATATATACATACGCAAATAAATGAAATTTTCCTTTCGACGTGCATGCAACTTTAATTTATTTCTGTCCTATGCATATTATTCGTATTTCGCATTACCTATTTCGAAAATGTTTACGGTAGATTATCTAAACTAAATTTCTGATACGAAAACAAAGCGCTATAAATGGTTAATTTTGCAAGTGAGATTATTCACATATTTCACATTTAATATTGAATTAATAAAAACCAATAAACGTCGTCAATATTACTTCTCTCGGTCAACATAGAAGATCTCGTAACATTAATGATATCGTTTTAAGACTAAAAACGAAATAAAATGAAAATTCGTATATACATATCTTAAAGCGAAAAATCAATAGACTAAATCATTTTATATTTTGGACAAATTAATGCGACCATCGATGCGTCAAATTTATCCGATCAACTCGAATATAATTATATATAAACTGATTATGTAACGATTTCGTATTACTTTATCGGAATAAGCAGATTAATCATCGCGGAAAGAAAAACTCGTCGATCGGACGATTTGCGTTGTTATCGTTTATAATTCTTCGTGCTTATGTACAAAAATTCTTTCGTTTCTGCATCATAGGGTGTGAATTGGTGTTAGATAAGCGGAATGACGGTCAGATATAATCTCTCTTTCGTTATCGTTATTTTCTTTTCTCGGAAATCTAAATAAATTTTAAAGAAAATATTCGTGGGCAAAATCGTCTTCCGTGCTCGTGGGTATTTCATCTTGACTTCAATCTCCTTCAAGGAGGATTTTAAAGAGTAAATAATCGTAGATTGATGAAAACTACATTAAAAAATCTAACATTACTCAAAAATGTGTGTGTGTGTATATATGCGATATATATATATATATATATATATATATATATATATATATACATACATATATGAATTACGTAAGATGGTCTTCTTTGTTTGGTCTGTTTTCTTGGACAATAAAGAATCACGTGTTGGTGATCGATGTGGAATTATGTCGAACAAAAGAAAGAGAAAGGGCCAACCGTTCAACGACTGGTAGAAAAGAAGAAAGGGAGTGTAAAAGGAGACGGAAGCAGAGGGAAAAGAAGGAAAAAAGGAAGAGAGAGAGAGAGAGAGACAGAAACACTATGGAGAAGAAAGAAGGGAAGTTACATCCGGCTAGGCGAGCTTGTGCCAAGCAATTCTGCGTAACGGCATCGATAATGCTCGACATTGCGACTCGCTTCGGAAATTGAAATTTCGTAGTCGTTCTCGTCTTCCCTTCGTCTTTGCCCCGTCGTCGAATGCTCGTCGACGGTTGGGGAAGGATCGGAACAGAACGGAAGGCTGGAACACGAAGGGAGACATTGAAGGGTTTCCTATCTAACTCGGTAAATTAGACGAGGAGACTTAACGATCCTGCGACCGGGAAATGATTTACCACGGGAGAAGAGAAAAGAAAAAGAAGAAGCTATAGAGAAGATTTTCTCTCCTGGTAAAAATTGTTATTTTTTTTTCTTTCTCTTTCTATCTATCTGTCTCTCTCTCTCTCTCTCTCTCTCTTTTTCTCTCTTTCTTTCATTTCCCTATATATTGGAGAATCTTTGGAATGATCGAAACAAAAATAATCCGATATTAAATATCGTGGATTAGTTTCGATAGCAATGATATACGATCCACGAAAAGAAAACTTACGATCGCTTAAAAAAAGAAAGTAAGAAAGAAAATAAATGTAAATTTGCAGAATGTAAAACGGTGGACGGAGATTGGATATTGCGGAGAGCAAAAGAGCTGAATGATTCATAGTCGACGAAAGGACAGTGTGTACGGATACAGAAACGCACGCACGTCTGTCTGGCCTAATTCCAAGTTCCCCACAAGCCGCCTTCGCCGTCGCCATCGTATTCGTCAAAGTTTTCTAAGGAAAGCTTGCTTAACCGCGATCAAGTTGGAGAGTGCGCACATCACCGGAAAGTTTACGAAAGTCACGGAAAAGCGAAAAACTCGAAAAATTATTTACGTTACATTTAATTTCTTTTACTCCTCTTTATATCCTTTCTTTAACAATAGAATTAAATTTATTCCTTCGTCTTAAATAAAGGATTTCTTACTCCAATCGCAGTGTAATTATACTTTCTTACGATTAACTAAAGTAATACATAACCACAATTTAGTAGAGCTTTCTGGATCGACGTTAACTGACAAAACCGGTCGTACTAGTTGAAAGCTTGTTTAGAACAATGACGTATGGTGGTACATTGGTAATAGCCAGAGTTGTATGCGGAGAATAATCGGTTATGTAATTACTTTTGCTTCGTAATAGTCGAATCGATTTGTACGTCCTCTTTGCTCTCCCACTCTCCTCTCTCTCTCTCTCTCTCTCTCTCTCTCTCTCTCTCTCTCTTCTTTTTTCTCCTCGTTTAAAAGAGGGATAATCGAAGAATTCGCGGTATATCAAGAACGTAATAACCATTTCGAAACGAAAGTGGCTTACACACCAGCGTTTACCGTGTCGTGGAATCTCATTTTCCTGCTTCGATTGGCTTTTTCATTGTTCCTAAATTAATCGCAAAATTTCGCAGAGAGCGAGAGTGAGAGAAAAACCTCGCTTTACGAGACAGCCAATCTACTCTTCTGACCATTGATCATATCGCACATTGAATTTCGTTGCGATCTAACTGCAGCCGCAGTTGTTTCAATGCGGGAAAGAACGAACTCGTCTGCATTAGTACGGTTTTAATCACAGTTCTACCACAAATATGCGTTGTTGCGCCGACGAAATTATTTTTTGTCGATTTTATTAACGAAAGGAACGTTGATATGTCTCGGAATTTTGTGTATTTTGTGACTTTTTGTTATTACTTGGTAAGTATATTATCGATAATTATTTCAATGACTGATTAAATTACGTTCGACGATCAAAAAAGGAAAAATATTTTTGTTTCTTCTTCGTTAATTTTCGCTGTCGCAAAATTGAAAAAAAAAAGAAGAAGAAAAATGCTCGGTCAAACAATTTTTTAAGCCGGAACTAAAGTAAATACAAAAAAAGGAACAAAGAATTCCAAAATAATATGGTAGTTTTTTTTTAATTAACTTTCAATTTACGCGGCCTTCGTATTATTATCATATCATCTATCGCTGATTAAACATCTTCCATCATGGTCCATTA